TAATCTGTATCCATGCCCTTGTTATAATGTTGTGATTTCATAGCATTGATACTCTTTTGCATTTTATTTCGATGCCCAATCAAGCTGATACCCATTCCTCTAAGTTGTTTGTCATTCAGTTCAGTGACTTTGTTCATATCATCAATTCTTGCTTCGCGGAATAATTCAGAATACTTATCCATGTTGATGTGTTTTAGCCACTCGTCCACTGACTGGAATTCTGGGGTATGGCTTGCTTTAGGACTAGAATAATGTATGAATAAATTAATAGCGATTTTTTAGAGGAGCGTATTTAACCTGGAATTAAAGATAACATGACTTTCACTTTTTTCTGAGCTTTTTCAATCAATTTCATTATTTGTTACGTTGGGTCTTTTGAGCAGATTTTCGTGTGCTTTTGGTGTGGAATGTCATCAGCTTGCGCGCTCATCGAATTTTTTCAACCCCTTTTTCAACGCCCTCTTGGTCCGCCACCTAAATCAGTCAAATTACCTTGGATGCTTTCAAATGCACCTCGTCAACTGCTTTGTAGTCTTCTTAACACAAATCAAGAGAGGACAATTTAGAAGATATTTATGGTCTTTCGAATTTAATGAAGGTTGATGGAGAAAAGTTGCACACGTGGTTTCGTAGGTGACGCCATAACAGAGAAGACGAAACAATCACGCAAATTAGAGGAAGTGAGCTTTGTCACCGATCCTTGATCACCTTTCTTTGACGCAACTAACTCATTCTATTGTAATACGATGGAAACTTACCTCTCTGAAAAAGAGGATGAATCACCATTTAGAAACTCCGGGGATCGAATAAGTTCATCCAGAAGATTGACAATGTCAGAAAAATTGGGCCGTTGGGTTTTGTCTTTATTCCAGCATTCGATCATTAAATTATGGACGATTTTCGGACATCCCTGTACAAACAGATAAATTATCTTAGGAGTAGTTATTTGTAGAAAGGATCTTCACTGTTTGAAATATTTCAAAACCCACAAAAAAGATTTCACCTGAACTTTTGATATGATTGTGTTGTCAATTACCTTCGGAACTGGTCAATATGGAAAGGGGGAAGGCGGAGGAATTTTTTTTTTAGGGGGGGGGAACGGATGATTTTCAGGAATGTGGATGGAGGATCAGTCGTCTCCAACAGAGTTTAAGGGGGGGACTAAATAGAAATGGCTTCAACACAAGGCTTCATCAGAGTATTACAGAGCCTTAAGGGGAGATCAGGTAAATATTATTTTGATACAACCAAAATCCTTCGACCCCGAACCGGTCCCTTACAACGGCAAAGCTGGAGTGATACATGTTAGCATTTAAAAATTCCTTCCCATCTTCACTCGATTTCTTTATTTTTAAGTCCTTGTAACCGAGTGTTGCTACTCTTTTTATTGTTTTGGCTCGCTGTGGTGTTTTAGTGATGATTCTTGTGATGATAGTAGTTGGATTTAAATAACACTCTAATGTCACTCGAAAGCGATAACATCTCCAGTTTAAGAACAAGACGTCAACAACAGAAATGCATGTGAGTGAATCAGATAGGACATACACCAAATGCAACCAAAAGGTAGGTATTATGGTAACGACAAAAACCCTATGAAATTTTCTTTGTTTTTACTGTAAAGGAAAAGTCATATTCAGTAGTCACATGTTTGTTACTGCAAGATGTACCTGTGGAGCTGGTAATCTGTATCCAGTTTCCACTCGTTTGATAACCTTGGAAAAACGATAAGAATTTTAGCTAATAAGATTTACCTTTAAAAGTCACAATGTAATACATATGTGTTATTGACCAGGCGTGTGGTCAAGATAGCTGGATATTGGCCAAGTCCTTTTTTGCGTTTTTATGGACCCGGACGAAGTTTAGGTCCATAAAAACCAAAACAAAGAACGAGGCTAATGTCCCGCCATCTTGACCGAAGAAGCCTGATCAATAGAAGATTTATTATAGAACAGAAAGATTTCGATTCGTTAAGAATCAAGAATGCCTTGTTCATCTCAAGATCCTAGAAAGAAAGACAAATGTGTTTGTAGTACAGTAAACTCACAAAAGTCGTTTATGTTTTCTTTGTTTTGACTGTCCTGTGCCGCTTTTTGCGACTCCGTCCCCGACGCTGTTCATCGATTACGAACTTTGTAAGTTGAAGTTCTCGTCAATAAGAACTTGCCGCTGTTATGAACTGATTGTCTCTCTTTTAGGCTCTCTTCTGCACAGTCCATGAAAACATTCGTTATTAAGCGGGATGACTTACATCGAAATTGTCCCAATTCCAGTAAGGTCTGTCACAATATGACATGATCTCCCACATTAGAATGCCGAAGCTCCAAACATCACTGGCTGAACTGAACGTCCGATGCTGAAGAGCCTCTGGGGCTGTCCAACGAACTGGAATCTTGCCCCCCTTAAGAGTAATTGAAACAAAGACATTTATTTTGAGAGGATGCAGGTCACGTGTCTTCACTAAAACTCTACACCTTCGCTTTGTACTCGCCTCTAGCAAAGGGTGTTGGAAAAGGTACATATGATTAACAGGAGACCTGATCAGCGGGAACAAAGTGGGACCCTACCTTGTGAGTGACTTTCTTTCACATCACACCTAGCCTTCAGATGAACCTTTGGAACACAGTCAAATAATGGCGGTTGCGAAATCTCGAATGGAACGGTCCAATTAAAAACACTTCTGTCTCTCGTAACGGATTGGAATTTGGCAGGTTACGTGAGAAAGTCACAATGTACCAGGAAATGGAAACAATGAAATTAAAAATTTGATCTCAAGGGCACTTTTCAGTCTTAAATCTGAGGAAGTCTTTCACTTCAACAGAAAGCAAACAAAGAAGAGCGTGGAATAGTGCCAGCTTCAGTGGGTGGCATAAATTACACATAAGAAAGGCAAGAGTGTGAAAAAGGAAAAGGTGTTCGTCACTGTCATCATTTTTTACGTGACACTTGTCATAAACGTTGGCGTATAACTTAACGTAATTTTCGATTTAAGTCAAAAATTACTTGTGTCGTGTATTCAGCTTGTGCTTCATCATCGTCAGCCAGTTCTCTTGAAAGGCCAAAATCTGATACTTTACACAACATGTTTTCACCCACAAGAACATTACGAGCAGCCAGATCCTAAGTTGAGACAAACATAGTAACAATTTTTTAATACTCAATCAGTTTTTAGGTATAACAGCAAAATTCAAAACATATCAAAGCAGAATAACCCCACATGCGTTTGGATCTTGAAGAATAACGCCCTTAAGTCCGTCACTTTTATTTAAAGGTTATCTCATTGAAACTGAAGCTACTTAACGATCCTGGGAAGGACGCTGATCTCACACTTCTGTGGCGCGCGTTTTCTCCTACAGCTGATGTCTTATGAGAATTAAATATTTGGTTGGTTCTCCTCTTTGATACGATAGTGTCAGTCACCGGGTTTTATGTTTTTCCTCCCTCCAAATAAATTAAATGATTCCAAACTCCAAACCCAACTGGAAACAATGGACGAACATCCACAAGTGTAAAGGTAAATTTCACCTATATTTACGATGAAAATAAAATATGAAGATAATATATACCCTATGAATAAAATTTAATTCTGACAGGTACTTCATTCCGTGAGCCACACCCCTAGCCATTCCAACCAACTGAAGGCTCGTCAGCTGACCATTTCGGTCCTAGGAGGAAATCCGAAGACCCGTTAATCGTTTAACCCTCCAAGTCTTACGATGACTGGGATCTAGTTTCTCAGCCT